TGAGAGCCAATAAACTGAAACTCAATCCAGACAAGACGGAGGTCCTGTTGGTGAGTGGATCGAGCTCCTGCGTAGGTGACTTGGACCTTGCCCTGAATGGGGTTGCACTCCCTCTAAAGGACAGGGTCCGCAGCTTGGGAGTGCTCCTCGACCCAGAGCTGTCCCTGGAAGCTTAGGTGACTGCGGTGGTGAGGAGTGCTTTCCTTCAGCTTCGGTTAATCCATCAGCTGTGTCCCTACCTGGAGGACGATTGCCTAGCGACAGCGACACATGCATTGGTTACTTCCCAGTTGGATTTCTGTAACGCGCTCTACGTGGGGCTGCCCTTGAGGACAGTCCAGATACTTCAGATGGTGCAAAATAGAGCAGCCAGGTTGCTGACGGGGACTGGGCATTATTCTCATATAACCCCAGTCCTCTACCAGCTTCACTGGCTTCCCATCGAAGTCCGGACTCAATTCAAAGTGCTGGTTATTACCTATAAAGCCCTTAATGGCTTGGGACGTGGATACCTAAAGGAACACCTTCTTCCATATTTGCCCTCCCACCCTCTGAGATAGGCAGCAGAGGCCCTCCTCTGGGAACCCTCCGTGAAAGATATTAGGAGGCAAAGTTCCCGGAGGAGGGCTTTCTCTGTGGTGGTGCCCTGCCTATGGAATGTGCTCCCCAGAGCGGTCTGCCTGGCGTCATCATTATTTGTTTTTCAGCGCCAGGTTAAGACCTTTTTATTCCAACAATATTTTAATAACTTTTAATATGGTTTATATATACTTTTAATCTGCAGCCAGGGTGGATCTGAAATTCATTTGTATTATGTTTTATATTATTTTATTTATGTAAGCCGTCCTAAGGCCTTCGCGACAGGACAGCATATAAATATTCTAAATAAATTAAATACATACATACATACATACTGAGAAGCAGCTACACAAAAAGGACTCAATCTGAACACAATTTCTTAATCTTATAGGAAACTATAAGAGGATGCCACATTAGCAAAATTCTTGATCAGAATCAACTTTCTATAATTAAGGTATCATAGTTCCAGGTACCCAACAATGGTTAGACTTCCATTTGATTTCCTATTACCCATCTTTCCTTTTGAACACCTGTGTTCAACAAGACCAAACAGCTTGTTACCTCTGATGCATTTCTGAATTTTAAACTAACACAGAATCATAGTAGAGTTGGACCTGATGGCCTTCATGGCCTGCTGTTACAGGACACCAGTTTACACCAACACACTCAAATGGCTGTCCAGTTTCCACAGCTAATAAGTCCAAGGTTAGTCTTCACCCACAGCATTTTTCTAATCACTCTCTGTCTTTTTTTTCTTCCTCCTAAAACTATTAATTTCTGCCCCCATGGTCAGGCTTGTCACTACTATCCAAGTTCCTCAGGTCATATAACCTTTCAATTACCTGCTCTGCTATTTCTGTAAGACACCACCTTCGCTTCCTTATTTGGAAGGCATTTCTACATTCCCCTGGTTAATTGGTGAACATGAATTTCCCCGAAGTATGTTATTTAATTAAGCCTACTGAAATTAGTATATGGATCAATGTTCCAGGAGTGGTTATACAAACCAAGCCATTTTTTTCTCTTCTACAACTACTGCGCAGGTGCACATTTTTTTAAAAAGCTAAAGGCTATGCTTTGAACACTAGCCTCAGCACTTATCAAATTTCCCCATTTTAGAAGCAGTGCATTTTTAACAGCACAGTGCAAGAATCTTCTGAGTGTACCTCAGACTTCTGATTAAAGACCCATACCAGTTTTAGACCTGGAAGTTACATCTATATAAATTAGGACATGTCATAACAAGCCCCCAACAATATTATGTATGCATAAGTTAGCATCTGAAATATGAAGGATCATGTGTAGTATACTGCATTTGATGTTCAATGTGCCCAAATTCACAGACTGTACACATATCAACCCCATACCGTTCTTAAGTGATTCCATGTAGTCACCAGAAAGGTCTTACTCCTCCATGTGAATGCCAAATGTTACTTAACTCCTCAGGTCCCATTAACTGCTACATGTATACAAAAGATGCCACAATAGATCTGTTTTTTCAGGTATCTTTCTCAAAACAGAGACAGAAAATAACACCAACATGAGTGCACAAAAAGAAAGAAACCTAAGAAAAAGAGATAAAAAGTTCTTGTGTATAATAAAGCTGTACTGTGCATCAACAGAACTAAAAGTTAATTCAAGGAAGTGACTTATACTGGAACCAAGAAAAGCTTTTTCAAGACTTACAAATCAATTACAAGTTTGTGCACAGACAATGATAATGCTTTAGAAGTTTATTTTATGTATTCCATTTATTTATTCATTCCATTTATATGCTACCGCACTAGCAATAGGCTCTATGGGCAGGTCATATTTACATTTTAAAGTTGCATTTTAACTTAATCCTATCCTGGTCTCAGCTGTTTTTCTACCACTAGGTCATGAGCTGTCATATTTGCTTCCTATGGTCATTCCTACCCAAAGAAATCTAACTCTAGAAAGACTCAAGAGCAACCTCAGAGATGGAAGTTGAGTTGCTGTCCTCTGACCATGTTAGCCTTCTATCATGCTGATGATAACTTATTAATCCTTCCCTTCAAAATCTGTACCTCCAGATCACAAATCACAATCATTAATATTAAGAAAGGAGATATGAAAACCGTAAAAGCAACACATCCTCTATTCTTGTCTCATGAACAAGAATCATACTGCTATAGCTCAACTCCTATTAGCAGTAGTTTTATTTTCCTTTAAATCTAACTTCACATCTCAGATCAACTTAACAGTTTATAAGAAAGGCTTTCTTACCTCCCCTTAAAACTGGCCAAAGGGAGAGGGAAGCACCTACGTAGGACACACATGTAGACATATTTGGGAGTAAGCTCATCTATCCCTTTGGCATTATTTCTTTAATTTAAAACATTTATGTCATTCACTACTGGTAGAAATTTTGAAAAGGTGTTTTACTGAAACTATATATGTGTGTGTGTGTGTGTGTGTGATAATTTGATTAGTTGGATTGTATTGTTTTTATGCTGTAAGCTGCCTCAGGAAGACTTTGGTCTTGAAAGGCAGCTAGAAAACAGAATGGACAGTGCTGGACAGGAATTCAGGAGATCTGGATTCTAGCCAGTGCTCAACCACAAAGATCACTGGATAACTGCAGAGAAGTCATTGAACTCAGCCTAGCCTACCTCACAGGGTTTGAGGGTAAAATGGAAGAAATGCCAACTTGAGCTCCTTCCAGGAAAAAAAAGGTGAAATATCAGTATAATAAATTAATTCAACACTTATTCCTATGTAAGCATACATAGGAACAAATTAGATTAAAAAGTACTAAACAGATAAGTAGAAGCCAATAATTCAAAGGTGGTATTTGCAGTAATCACTCTTTACCCAGCTTCAGTCTGTTCAAAGCAGAATTACAGCATTCAGATCTGTTCCTCAAATTTCCACCAGTTCATTTTTCCTCTTCTTTCTTTTAATTTTTATTCACTAATGTGGTATTTATCCCTTTTCTATAAATGCCACATGCATCAATCAACATGATTCTTTGCTTTACAGCGGAAGAAAAACGAAAAGAAAGGTACAGCTAATCAGTACGACTAAGCAGACCCTGAAACTAAGAGTGCAAAGATTGCCATACACATATTAGCATTTGCTTCAGCACCTGCTGCTCCAGATCAAACTGGCTAATTGCCAATTCTAACCAGTTGTTTTTAGAGTCAGGGGCTTCTACCCCTCCCAGCCCGAAAAGGGTGTGGAAGACTAGGATATAATGCATTTAAAAGGGCGGCGGCCAGCTACATAATGACATCCGCCTGTCCTCCCCACAAATCACGGCTGCCCCGTCATCAACCTAGACAGAGCGGAGACAGCAAACGCAGCCTCCAGCCAGCCCTGCCCATCACAGCCTCCAGAATGCTGGACGTAACGGTCTCGGCGGCGGCTCCAAGTGACAAGTGGAATCCCAACAGCTTCCCAACTCCCAGCAACAGCGCCGGCAACAAACCAACAACAAGGCGGCGGGACACACACACCTCGCCGCCTCCCGCCCTGCACGCCGGGAGGAGGAGCGCTTCTCAGAGAGATGCACGACGGAGGCGCAGCCACCGGCCCCGAGAAGGGTCTGCATGCCTCGAGACTCGTGCTCGCCTCAGCCTAACAAGAGCCTCCGTAAAAAACACTCATCACGCCACTCGGTGACAATAAATGTTAACATAATGATAATATACTCGGAGATCAGAAAGGATCTGCTATAGAACTGCAGCCTCGAAACTGCTGCAGTGTACTTCTTCATATTTGCCTTTCGGCTGCTCTCCCCCAGTAACCAAGTTTGGTGGTATGATGCGAGACAGACGGACGCGAAGAGAAACACTAAACACGCAAGTGATCCCCCCACGCACCACACACACGCCCCTTCCAGGCGCCTCCCCGCTTCACAACTCACCTCCTCCTCCTCCTGTTTGTCCAGCCATGTCCCACCCCTCACAAGAAGCCCCCTCAAGAATGCCACAGCTGGCCTGGCCAACCCCAACGCAGCCGCCGCCAGCCCCTCACCTCAGCGTAGTCGGGTGTACGAGCGGGTAAAATATTAACACAAGTAAAAAATGAGCCCTTCAGTGTCCAAAAATAGGAAGGGAGGGGAAGCGAGCGGCCCTCCCTCTCTCCGCTCGCGCTTTCCTTTCGGCCCCTCGTGAGGAAATGGGAGGCATTCTCTTTTCTCCTGCGGTCCCCGCCGCCCGGCCACTCTCGCCTTCGGCGGGCCCACCCCCGCCCCCTTTCCAGACACGAACTTCTCCCGACGAGCAGCCGCGAAAAAGTTTCCTCCGAAGTCCCGCCCGCCGCTGCTTCTTCGCCCGCTCTGCCTCAGTGGCGACCCCTTCACGCGCCGCGCTCGGACAGCGAGGAAACTGGTTTGGTCCGGAGAGGAGCCGCCGCCCCCTTCGCGAAGAGAAAAAGAAAGTTTCTCTGCTACTCACCGCAGCAGACACGGGAGAGGAGCAAGCCCAGCGACAGCAACCCGGGCAGGGCGGGCATCCCTGGGCGGCGGTGGCAGCAGCGACGCCGGGTCGACGCGAAAGAGAACTGGCGGCCGGGAGGAGCGTGTGGCGGAACGGCCGCCTCAAGGGACCCGGCCATGCTGGAGGCTGGGCTCCGCTCCCAGCCGCCGCTACGACTCCCGAGCGTTCCTTCCACAACCTCCTCCTTCTCTCCCCAGCGCCGGGTCCGTGTGTCACTGAGTGGGGAGGTGCCGCGCCCGCCGCCCCTCCCTCCAAGGAATGGAGCACACCATCCCACCTGAGGGAAGGGGTGCCATGGCAGTCTCCCCAAACACGCGCACATTGGCCCACCGCCCGAAGCTTCTTTCTCCTGAAAGCACTTCCCCCAAAGAACTGTTCTTAGTCTGGGTAAATTGACACCGCCGAAGAGGCTGAACAACTTGGAGAAAGAGAGGGAGGGAGAGGAATGCCACAAGCTTTCCCCCATCTTTTAAGCTTCGTTGGTACGTTCCGCTCCTCCCCCGCCCCTTCCCCACTTGCGACAACCCAGAGAGGAGGGCTATAGGAAAACCTCTGCGCTACTCTCCTTTTCTCTGCATTTCTTACACTTTAATTTGGTGCGTGCTTCCTTTTTGTGTTTGTCTTTTCCCGTCCCTTTGTTTCTCGGTGTGATTGAGCTTTCCATAATTCCTCTGTCTTTCTTTAAATTTCCTTTCTACTGCTCTCCCTTTCCATCTCAGCCCTTCTGCCTTAATTTACTCCTGGGGTTCTTAAGCCTCCCCTGCCTGGGGGAAAGTAAGGCTTGACTTGCTGCAACACACCTTCGCTTGCTCCGTTCTTTCACACTAGGACCTTCAAGGTTCCGTGCGTTCTCCGACAAGCTAAAAGAAGCGCGTGCAGAGTACTACAAACACAGCAAGAGGGAGAAAGAAAACACGCGTTCCATACCAACCATCAGCGGCAAACAAAAAGCTAAACAAACGAGCTCTTCTTCAGAATGACTTAGTCTTGAAACGGCTTCAAATACTAACCTGAAGTCAGGAACCCTTGACGCAGCTGGCGACTATTAACACCAATAGAATCAATCACTCTCTCCCCCTCTCCCTCCCCCTCTCTCCTCCTTGGAAATTGTTGCTAGCAGAAACTGACAAGGAATTTTATTTTTTATTTTAGTTTGGAATGACACTGTTCTGGGTTTTGACAAAAAGAAACAGAAGAAGCAAACTACTTGGAACGAAAGGGCAAAAGTCAACTGATAAAGTTAGATGAGGCAACCAATTACTGGATCATTAAATATGTGTTTATTTGCATATGTAATTGCTAGTAAAAGATACAGGGCTGGTAACTGCAGTAGTAGCATGTTCTATATCTGCTTATTATGAGTGGGGGTTGCGCTGCACAGAGAATAATAGGTAGCAGTGACGGGCACATGCTTCCCTATCCTTCTGTTGTAACCTTCACCTATGAAGAGAGAAAAGGTAATTCTTTCCCTTGCAGAGGTGGCTCCACCTCCTAAGGATGTGTTTTAAATAAGGTGGGCATTCTACCCTTTGCCAATAAGAACACAACAAAATTCAGTTTGCATTGACTATTAAAGATATGGGATAGAAGCAAGCTTCGTTCCTTCTTGCAGCCGTGGAAAGAGAATAGAACTGGAATCAATGAAAAATCAGCATATTATGTTTCAGTCCTCTTGGCCAATCAGATCTCTTTAGCAAATAAAATGTTTGGAGATGAAGAGATGATGGAAGGATGTTTATGAGCAAATCTTGCATGTGGGACTGTGGTGGTAGTGTATATGAAAGCCCAGTTCTCCAACACTGATTCCATCCAGGGAAGTCTTTTCCACTCCAAAGAACCAGTTAAGCCCCTTTTCAGCCTCTTTGAAGAAAACTGCCAAAGTAACAGGACTGTTGACCTTCTGATGACCTTCTTTCTTTGGACCTTCTGTTGCCCTTCTGATGACCTTCTTACTTTGGACCTTCTGTTGACCTGATGACCTTCTGTTGACCTTCTGTTGACCTTCTTACCTCTGTTGACCTTACTTCGGATGTGGATACAGAGACTCTGAAGGCAGATTGAAGAGTCTGATAATGGCACTTTTTATTGTTGGGGGGTGGTTTTGTAGTTGTAGTGGGTAAAGTAGGTAGTAGGTAGGAGCATGCATCCAACATGTGAAGGATAGAGTGGACCATCTTGTTCACTCCGGGGGTCACCAGCCGCTTCTGGTGATCCATGTGGGGACAAATGACATAGCCAGGCAGGGTGTGGGTGGGATCACCAGGGACTTCGAGGCCTTGGAGAAGAAACTCAGGGACCTAAAGGCCCAAGTGGCCTTCTCATCTTTCTTACCATTCCAGGGATTTTGACCAGGCAGGGAAAGGAGGGTCGCCGAGGTGAACGACTGGCTTAGGGTGTGGTGCCAAAGGAACCCTTTGGGTTTCTCGACCACGGCACCTGGGTTCTTGCCAATGAACTTATGGCAAGGGACAGGATGCACCTCACAAGGATGGGGAAAAGGTCCTTCAGAAATGCTCTAGTGACCTTTGTCCAGAAGACTTAAACTGAGCCGGGGGGGGGGGCGGTTAGGCCCACCAGATACTTGTCTACACTGGATAAGTGAGGGGAAAGGATCAGGGCTGTGGGACCAGGGTGTTAGAGGTACTGCAGGGGCTGAAAGGACTCCTACAAAGAGGGGTCTGGTGTCAAGGAAGATGGGAGGAAGGAGGAGGCTGGGAATTCCAAAGAAAGGAAGTGGTGGGAAGGAGTTGAGGTGCATGTACACCAATGCTAGGAGCATGGGTAATAAGCAGGAAGAGCTTGAGCTTTCCTGGGAATAGGAGGGTATGACCTGGTTGGGATCACGGAAACTTGGTGGGATGAAACGCAAGACTGGAATGTGAACATAGAGGGGTATCACCTGTATAAAGGATAGGAAGGGAAAGAGGGGCAGGGGTGTAGCTTTATATGTCAGGGATAGGATAGGATACAGTGAGATAGAATGCAGCGCAGAGGGGGATCTGGTAGAGGCAGTCTGGGTGGAACTAAGGGGTTTTGTCAGGGAGAGGGACCTGACAATGCGGGGTATGTTATCACCCTCCAGGTCAACTTGAGACCCTGGATGATGTCCTGACAGAGGATATCTTGGGAGAGAGACACAGTAATTATGGGAGATTTCAATCTTCCGGATATTAGTTGGGAGACTCACTCAGCGGTGACAGCCAGGTCACGTTGCTTCCTTGACGCTATAGAGGGAAGGTTTTTCATGCAGAGGGCCCAAGAGGCAACGAGGGGAGGTAAAGGAAGTAACTCAGTGATTGGGAAACAGTGAGGCAAACAACCAAGCCATGACTACCTTTGGAACATAAGAAAGATGAAACTCCATCTGAGTGGCTGCGGGGACTGAAAGAACAGGTACAGGAAAATGGGCAACTGGATTCAGGAAATCCAGTCTATCAGATATTGCTGAAGCATGACTTTGCAGGGAAGGCATGGGAAGATATTAGGAAACTAAATTGCCTTGGACTAAGGTCTTGCTTATAGCCTTATTCCGAATTTGGACCCAGCTTAGGTCAGATATTGGAAAGTCACCCATTGAGTTGTTGTAAGCAATGCCCTTGCCAGGACCTAGGAAACTATTAGCAGTCCCTGAGATCACTGACATGTATCTTAGGTGGTATGTCGAAAAGGTACTGTGATCTTTATCATCTCTCCACAGAATGTACTTCTTGCCCAGACGCCTCCTTTGGAGTTTCCAGTGCACAAAGTCCAGCCAGGACAATGGGTGTTGATCAAAGCCTAGAAGGAGGGGCCACTGAAACCACAGTGGGAAGTCCCTTTCCAAGTGCTCCTAACACTGAGACTGGAGCCAACCTCTCAGTCTGGGTGGCTGAGAGATTGGACCCAGCACACCAGAGTGAAAAGAGTCCTCCCTAAATGCATGGAGGGAAAGGGAGAAGGGGGCGGGGGAGTTTCTTGAAGCTGCTACTCTGGCTGTATCTGTGTAATCCTGTTAATTTTGTTACTCCCTCCTACACCACATGTCCTTGTAGAAAGAAAACAGTGGGATGCCCCATTTCTGAGCTTTTCAGTTTTAGAATACTGGCTCAGTGCGCTATAGAATGCTTTTGCTTCAGTAGCACTGGTAAAACCCAGCATGGATTTCTTACACCTGGAAAATGTTGTATGTCTGAATTCCAGCCAAGGACCAGGTACAACTGACATGCAGATTACAGAAGGGTGGGCACATGTTGTCCCAGATCAGGCAAAGGAGAGTAAAAGGAAAGAATTCATTTTTGGCTTAAACATGATTCTGTAGTTCCCTAGGAAAAAACAGTCTTCCATGTGGGGAACTGCAGGCAGGGACCACTGAGGCAGATTACTAGTTTGGGGGTGGGGACAGTTGATGGTGGACTGACAGTATCTCTACAGCACCCAAGAGAGCAACAGCCAATCCGCACAAGCTGGATTAGGCCCCTGTGTGAGAGTGTTTGGAGAAGCTTGATTTATAGCTGTGCAACAGCTGACATGCGGTAGCAGCCTTGCTAAGCTGGAAAGGCCTTGGCCTGCAGCTGGATGGGCAACTGCATGTGGATGCTGACTTCTGTGCATTATTCACACAGACAGGGCTAGTGAGTGCCACTTGGTACAACCTGGAATGTACACTACATGTGCAGGAGGATTTAGTGCTGAGTAAAGAGGTGGAAGTCAGCAAATATGTTAGCTCAATGGCCCACATTGGGAATAGTTGGCAAACACAAAATTCCACAGGAAAAATCCTCTACGGGAGATCTCTGAACACAGTTTCACAACAAGTAAAAAGATGGATTGGATGGTCTTGGGAATAGTTAGCTAATTGGCCTCCAAACCTGGGATAGCTAAGATAGTCCTATATACTTATTTTAGGGATAGTAGTAATAGAGATTACTTGTGTCTATATGCAATGGTTACCAGTTTGTTTGCAATGCTGCAAAGCTACGCTTCCCACACCTAATAATGAGAAAAGGGTAAGATTCATATTAGTTAGGTTGGAGCGCAAGAGAAATAGTGGAATAGTGTTTCTCAAATCATGGTTCTAAAGAAAAGAAAAGGGAGGACTTGAAGGAAGTAATGCAGTGATTGAGAAACAGTGAGGCAAACAACCAAGCCATGAAGCCTGTCTGAAGGAATGTGGAGAGGGAAAAATGATAATTGGCTTGAAAGAAAGCTTGCTACTT